GTGTCGCCGCCAGCTGCGCGCCCGCGACGCCGCCCTCGAGAGCCTGCGCGGAGCCCGCGACTCCCTGGAGCGGCAGCTGCGCGACTCGGCCGAGCGGCACAGCGCGGAGGCGGCCGGCTTGCAGGTGAGCGCCGCGCAACGCCGCCCCGGGCACCCTGCGCGGCCCCGGGCACCCTGCGCGGGACGAGCATCCCCGGCGGGTGCAGCCCCGAGCACCGCCATCCTGCCGCCCTGCACACGCTGCGCACGCCCGGGCATCCCCGCCCAGCGCAGCATCCCTGGATCTAAGCAGCACCGACCACCGCACCCTGCTCCCCACAGCATCCTGCTCCCCACAGCACCCTGCACAGGGCCGAGCAACCCCACCCTGCTGCCCTGAGCACCATGCCCAGCACTGRACATCCCCGCCCAGTGCAGCACCCCCAGCTCTGCGCAGTCCTGAGCCCCCGCAGCACCAAGCATCTCCACCCAATGCAACCCCCATGGACCTCCAAAGCTCCCCCTCTCCAAGCACTGCACAGCATCCAGCACCTCTGCTGTCCCCTCCTCTATCTCCATGCTCCTGGCGGTGCTGTCAGGGTGGGCTGTGGGATGACACCCCTGCATCCCGTCCCTGTGGGGCTTTCGAGTGGCATGGCCTGGCGCTGGGCATTGCTGGCATCAGAGCAGCAAGACTGATGCTGCAGACAGTCCTTATGTCTCTGGAAACCTGAACATAAGCGACTCTTTCACAGCAAATGTGCTTCCATGTCATTTACTGAATTTTCTGACTTCAAGGAAATATTTGTTACTTAAAATACAATAAATCCTGAGATTATACTGTTAAGAGCTATTAAAACATCCATGAATTCTAAATCAAGCCAATTCCAAAAAAAAAAAAAAAAAAAAAAAAAAAAAAACCTGCCTTGGGTCATCCCTGAAGGACACTCTTACATCACACCCAAGCAAGCTTTGTCATTTCCAAGGCCAAATTCTGCCTGGCTCTCCAGAAAGCCATGGTTGCAGCTCCACACTGCTTGTAGCCCTGCTGAACAGCCATGGTCTCCTCGTTCACCAAATCTTGTGGAAACAGTTCGGCAATACATAATTTTTCCCCTAGTAGATGAAAGGATGATGCCTAAGTAATCTCCTTAAATAGTTCTGATGCCTTGTGAAAAGTGCGATTGCAGGGAGGACACATATATTRGAGAGACAAAAAATGATGCAGCTGGATTAAAGATCACTATAATTGAACATCTAGCTATGGCACATCAGCATTTTTCCTCTGTTACTCCCAGGTTCTGCCTTAAGCGTAATCATACGTTTCTTTTGAATAAAGTGTTTGTCTACGAGCTAAATAATTTCCCTGAATGAAACCAGTGGGAACAGACAGAGGTCAGCTTTAAAAGGGAATATTCCTATTTTTCTGGGGTGTGATGTTTTCTTACAGGCTCCAAAAGTGGGGTGGGGTTTCTCTATATTCTGCTTAGCTACCCAGCACCAAGCCCTGTGTCAGACTGCTTTGCAATGGGGTTTGCATCGACGTGCGTCTCTGCACGCACCTTCTGCAGCACCGCGTTGCCACTCGGGGCTGCTTTCTGCAGCCGGCTCCTTCCCCCTCAGGCCCTCCATGGCCGGTGGCTCCCATTTTCCAGCATTTCCCCCCTCTCGGGGAGCTCCCTTGCAGCTGCAGGGGTCTCAGGGGTGCAAAGACCAGGCAGGAGGGATGCAGCAGCATTTGCAGCTGGCTCTGCAGTCTGCAAATCGCTTACTCACGGCTGCTGCATGTCATGCAGAGCTGGTGGCTGAGGGGGAGCCTTGGCTCTGCAACAGCCCCTGTGGCTGCTGCTTTTACTGATGTCTTTCTTGCACCAGACCCTCATGCAGCCTCCTGCTGTCCTTGAGTCGCAGTTTTCTCTGCTTTGTAACCATGTTTGTGGGTCTGCGCTTGTCTTCTCCTATGGACAGGGCTACATGTTCCACTAAACTAAACTAAACTAAACTAAACTAAACTAAACTAAACTAAACTAAAATAAAATAAAATAAAATAAAATAAAATAAAATGTCAGTCCTCCCTTGTCAGCAAGTGGTAGAGCTGTCCACAAACTCCTCCACGCTGTGGTCAAAAGTGGATTTTGCAGCTATGAGAGGGCAAAACTGCTGCAAAGGAAGAGGTGGCAGCAACTTGTGTCCTGCAAGGGGGGAGAGTGGCCAGGATGGGCTGGAGGAGGGGTGAATGTCACCTCTGGAGCCAGTTGTATTGGGAGCCAGAGAGAATTGTCCCTTCTCCATGGTGACCAGAGCAGAAATCCCACAGCAGAGGACCCAGAACCGCAGCAGTGACCGCGCTGCCTTTGCCTCCCTGCAGGACACCATCGGGCAGCTGGAGGACGACCTCCGAAACACCAAGAATGAGATGGCCCGGCACTTGAGGGAGTAYCAGGACCTGCTTAACGTGAAGATGGCCCTCGACATCGAGATAGCCGCCTACAGGTACCCCGGCCAYCCCCCAGCCCGCATAGATGCAGGGAAATTTGGGATTGGGAACTTGCCTCCTTGGCAGGGTCAATGTGTGTTGGGTCAGGGCATTGCAAGCATCTCTTGCACAGGTGGAAAGGCAGATCCACACTGCAGTTCAGAGAGCTGGGCTTTGGTGGGGTTTCCAGAGACGGAGGATGGAGCCAGTCTTATGGAACACATTTTGCAAGTGCCTCCAAAATCACTGAGAAAAGTATTCTTATCTTAAACTAGTTTCATGCTGCTTGGCTTCATGCTTATCCATGAAAGGATAGATGCTGGGAGAAAGGGCCTGGGACAGATCCTCACTAGTGCTGCAGAGACATAGCGAGGAGGAAGGCAGTGCAGGGGGGATCTGCAGCACTGTTTGAGACAATTTTCAACCCGGCTTTGGGTGACAACCAAGGTTCCTGGCTGCCCTGAGGGTCTGGTGTGGTCCAGACTGGTCATGACTGCGAAGGAGTCCTGAGGATGTCCCAGACTAACCTCTCCCATTGCCCTGTGCTTGCAGGAAGCTRCTGGAGGGGGAGGAGACGTACTTCAGCGATGGAAGCATCAGCCTTGGAGCCTCCAACCCATTCCCTAACTCCACTTACTCTTTCCAGCCAAAGGGCTTTAGCTCCTCCATGACCACTGGCACAAAAGCATTCCCTCTGTCTATCAGGAAAGAGGAGGAAGAGGAAGTCATTAAAGTGGCCTCCCGAATATCATCCAGCCGGGCTGAAGTGATAGAGGAGACCATAACCTCCACCAAAAAGATGGAGAGAGCCAACCTGCGCCAAGGGAGCCTAACAGCTGTAAACATGTAACCAGGGCTCTCCTGGCCCTTTTGCATTCGAGGGGGATCAGCCTGTTCCAGGGGAGTGTGGCTGCCAGGAGCTTCRTCCCCGCCTGGGAGACTCCGGGGCGCCCGGGTCCCTTTCGGGACACKCTGCTCCCTCTCGGAGGAGGCGCGGGCAGCGCCGCAGCCAGCTAGATGCATGTCGGTCGTGTTCGTGGTTGCACCGTGGCCCATAGCGCTCACGTTCCCTCCTGCGGCCAAGATGGAGCCGTGTGGCTCTGTAGGTTGGTGGGTGATGGAAACRGGACCCAACACACTCGCTACAGCTAGTTCCCAGGCTCTAGGCCTTCGTCTTGTGTCTAAACCTGTGTGTATCCAAAATAAGCCCCTCCTCAAGCTGCAGCCATCCACTTGAATCCCAGGAGCACCGAAATAGCCATAGTGAACTGTGAAGGTACCTAACTTCTGCTATATGAGTCACATAAGTTTTAAACTATAAGGAATAGTCATTTTTCTTGTTTTGATTCCCCACACGATGCTCTCTCTCAGCAGCATTAGCCTAGCCACGTGACAGGACTTGCTAGTGGCTGGGAAGCAGTGRCATCACCAGCACTGAGGGCTTGGGCGCCCCAGGCCCCAAAAACCTCCCTATGCAGCTGCCAAGAGCCACCTAAAAACCCTGGGACCACATCAGAAACCAGCCCTGAGCGGGTGCCACTGGTGGCTGCCCAAGATCCCTGTGTGCCAAAACCTCCTAGCGCATCCGCATCTCCCGCCACTGGAGCTGCTCCAATGCGCCCGTGCCAACCTGGACGTAGCTGTAGGTTTCCTTCAATGCCTTAAAATGTCCAGCACTGATGTCCACAAGAGGCCACAAGCCACACGTGCTGCGGGTCAGGGCAGCTCCAGGGCCCGGGGGCACTTGCACCCACTCTCCCTCTTTGTGTTGTAAGGCACGAGTTAGTCATTAAAAAGGAGGAGATATTTGTGTGAACCAACTGAGCTGTCCTGTGGTCTTTGCCTTCARGGTCTTTCTTGACATTTCCAAGCCAAAGAGGTTGGGAGGAGGATGACCTATYGTCTTGGGAAGCCTGGAGGAGGGCACTGGTTGGGAAAATGACTGGTTGGGACCAGAGAAGGGGCTCAGGAAGGACCTAAACACACCAGAAGGGAGCAGTCTGCGGTTTAGGTAACCTTAGGAATTTGGTGGCACCTCTGCTCCATCCCAAAGACTCAGCGACCTTGCAGGGTCTGATCCTGCCCCAGTGACTCCCACAGCAGCCCATGATGTGCTGGGCCTGATGCAGCACAGGATGATCCAGCATCCTGTGCTGGATGGTCCCAGCCCGGAGGTCTCGACATGGGGCCACCTCCCAGCGCAGCAGGCAGCTCACACAGCTCTGCCGAGCAGGCGCATTTGGGCAGCAGGGAGGCTCTCACCCCGGGACCAGACCAGGTCCAGGYCTGCTCTCACCTCTTACCCCACGGGATGCTCCTTGCCCTCTCTCTTCCCAGCTTTAGGAGAATATTGAAGGCAACACAGAGCTCAGTGTGGGGGCATCCATGCCAACCCCTGCTCCTGCAGCTGCCACGTGCACGGTGGCTCCTCGTGCCKGCCGGCTCTTGGCTCCTCCTGAAGCCTTCGCCAGCACACTGCCAGCTCCAACAAGGCAATAAATCCTCCTTTGCGGCCCCATCTTTTTTCCTGGTTTAATCACCAGGGCTGCCTGAGGAAAGAATCAGAGCACACTGCAGGTGCTRCAAGATTTATGCCTCTGCAGAGCCTAGACCGTGCGGATACAGGGCAGCTGCAGACACTGACCGCACCATCTCACGGGGAGAAGCAAAGAGCAGCCCTTTCCGCACGGCGCTACCCCGTGTTCTTCCCACACCATAAAGGACTCCAGCCTCCAGGAAGGGGGACAAGCTCCCACCCCAGAGCTGGCTGCAGACCTGTGTGCAGGCAGCTGTGCTTCGTGGCAGCATCGTTCTCCTCATTGCATCTCCCCATGGGCTAGATGGAGCCGTCCGTGCACGCTGGGACACCAGCTGAGCAGGTCTGGGTCACCTTCTGCTGTGGCAATGGGAGGTGCTTTTTTTCCATCGTGATCCCAGAAGCAGGAGAGCTTCTAGGGAGCTTTGCAGCAAGAGCCTGTGCTGAAAYGTACAGTTCCTGAGAGCGGGCAAGAGTCCTTGCACAGGGAGGAGAAATTAAGCCAGAGAAACCTCCTGGTGCTGTAATTCATGAAAGAGCAAGCTGCTGAACTGAGCCAAACAGAAACATTTCAGTGGAGATAAAACAAAACAAAAAATTGTCTCTGGCAAGAATGCAAACATCCCCATTTCCAGGCCAGGGAAAAGCCTTGTTATTGAGCAAGGAGGAATTTACAGACGATTCGGAGCASAGCCTCCTCCAGCTCCACAGCACAGACACCTCTGCAGAGGGAAGAGCTTCYCCTGGAGTGAGTGACCCACAGCGAGAGCAGTCCCCTGATGAGAGCAGCCAGATGTGCACCGGAACATCTGCAGCAGCGGGGTTGACACTTGAACGTTACAGAAACAACACTGGTGATAGGAGCTCATTTGGGCAAGTATTCACGGGCGTCTGGAAATAAGGATCATTTACTCTGCTGGCTGCCTGTGACAGAAAGACCTGAGGAAAGACACAGGAGGCACAACAGGGAAAATCCCAGTYGAGCACAGAGGCCCTGGGGCTCTACGGCTGAAAATGTCCATCAGTATTTGAAGCAGGGCAAAATGTTTCCAGCAAAATGAAATATTCTTAGACTAGACCCTTAAGGAATCAAGGATTATGTGGGCCTACTGTGACCGGACACACTCCCTTTCCTGGGCATTTTTTCTGCTCATCAGCTTAACTTTAGCCATATTTGACAGAAGAGCAAATGTCCCAAAGACACCAAACCCATCCCAGTTTCAYGCAAGCTGCTGCACAGGCAAAACATGCTCATTGATAACAAGTATGAATCATCTTCTCAGCACCCATGCAGAAGGCAGGAATTACGAACACCTCAAGACCAATGCAAGCTCCCTTGTGAGCTCATTTACAGAGAAAAAGTAAAGTTATTACAGAAGGAAAGGCAGAAAGAAAGGAGCTTTACTGTTTTTTGGACTGTTTTACTGTTTTACTGTTGGCTGGACAACTCATTTCTTAAAAAGAGCCAATTCCCTTAGACGGAAATTCTTCGCAGGCAAACAAATCAACTGCATGCAAGCAGCCTACAAATTCCTCATCACTCATAAGAATGTGAAACATGTAAAATTATGGTGTTCTGAAAGTTGCTTTGGTGATAACTATTGGTCCTGCTCTCCCTGTTTTCCTTCATTCAGCTGTGAAAAAGATCTCTGCGTTTTTCAGCTGCTGCCTGCCCTTACATACCTAGCCCGGGGTGCAGGGTCTCATTCACACGTGTCCTTGGTGCTCCAGAAGGACAAATGCAGAGGGAAGGAGCTCGCCTCAAGGTCGCAGGGCAGGTCGGTGATGGAGCTGAGGGAAGGCAGCCGTCCTTGCGCTCAGCTTATCCACCCGCACAGTCTTCCCAACACTGAGAAAAGCCACCACCAGCCACCTTCTCTAYGCTGTGGCATTTAAACAATGCGCTCTTTCATCACCTTTTGTAGGTGAAACATTTTCCCATGTCCCCATGTCTCATCCCCAGGAGGTCTCACCTCTCAGTTCCCAATATATGCAGGAATGTGGTATTTCTTCTGCAAGGACAATTTGGGCCAGCCCTTGAAATAGCATCTTATCTCATCGCAGCCCACATAAAAGGCTGCCGTGAGCAGCGGGCTCCGAGCAAACTGCGCTATCTCGGAAGGACTGTTTGCCTCCTGGCACCGGGGAAAAAGGGCTCTCCAGGAAGACGCCGTTTCCTTCTTCGTCATCTCTGCCAAGCCTCTGTGTCTGCTTCTCCCTTGCTAACATTGCCTTTAGAGGGAAACAAATTTTAAGATTTCATTTCCAAAAAAATGCTTTAATCAAACAACAAGAGAAAAACAGAACTTTCTTTCACTTAGCAAAATAATTTGTGTCAAGGCAGCAGTGATCTGAAAACTAAAAACACGAGGATAAACTAAACCAGATTGTGGCAAAGATGATGATAGCGTTGCATCCAGCTTCAGCAACCATTTTGCCATTGCAAGGCAGTCAATCAATACTGCATTTCACCTCAGAATGGATTACTACTCACCTCAGAAAAAAAAAAAAATCAATAAAACTTGATCTGTTTGGTAAGCAAGGTCAGTATATGACCTGTCACCATGGTAACTTTTTGAACTCTCAGCAAATATAAGTATCTGTCAGCTCGCTCAGCAAATGTCTTGCAAAGTTGGCATGTGTAAAGTTGGCCTCAGGACCACCTTGGCTCTTTCACTGTCCAGAATAGGTTGTTAGTGTAAGAAAAAAGGGGGGAAAAARGSMRRARGRAAAAAAAAAAGTAAAAATAGCGRGAATGCAGCATTTGCAGTGTTCTCACTGTCTCGCAGCAGGAATCTATCACAACAGCTCCTGCATCTTCAGGATACCTGCAAGGCTCAGGCAGACAACTGCGCTTCACGCTCAAGGATTCAAGGAGATGTGATACAAAAACGACCAACTTCTCCCTTCAAARATAATGCACCAAAGCCTCCTATGTCTCTGCTTATGGGCTACCCTTCCTCAAACACCACAGCCAATCCCTCCTCCCTGTGGATTACTGGTATCCTGGTATTAAACTATCCTCCGACTTTCCAACTTTCTCATTTCTTCACTGGAATTTCTAAGTCCCTCAGAGTACACCCGGCAGTTTCAACACGAACTCTTACAATTTGGATGCCAACATACAGAAACAATACGGAAATGAGAGCTGAATCTGAAATCGGCTAAAATAAAGTTTATTTTACTGTTACAATATATAATCTCTTATTAACACAACTCACAAAGTGTTTACAAAATAAACTTGTTTTCTGCTGCATTTTAAACACTACTTCTATACAAACTTTGACAGTAAAATAGTAAACTGTGGTTAGATTTTTTTTTTAGAAGCATCACAAAAATTACTTCAAATAAACACTTTTTTTTTTTTCTTATGGTGTCATTTTTGCAGACAAAACCAAATATTTATTGCAAGGCCTGAAGAAGGATTCACAAAAGCTTTCTTTCGACAGAGGACTGCACAGCAGTAAACATGACGGTGAACAAGTGCATGCGAGTGAAATCAGGTGCTCTGAGTTGCCTGACAGAGAAACCTCCTCCCCTGCCCTATGCCAGCGATACAGGAGTCTGGTCTCCCATCCCTAAAGGCAGTTTTTGTGAATCCCCACATTTATGACCTGRTGTGCAGCAAGGCCACAACACACAGAGCTCTGGTTTTTAATCCTGCACAAGAAACTATGGGAATCTTGAACAGAGCAGAATTTTGAAATATTACAGTTGTCATGAATTTAGTATTTTAATATGTTAAAACTAAAGCAACCTAATATCATTTTGTGGATCGGGGAGTACCACACGAGTGCTTACGTTCTTCAACATCTTCAACTGCGGTCTCCTCTACAACACACTAATATACTCTAAGAAAGACTGCAAGAGCTACTGTTTTCACTGGTGCTAAAAGGATGTGCTGAAATGAAAGAGAATCTGTGCTCTTGACTGTCAAAACAGTTAAAGGATGTTCCACAACAGCAGATTCAGGTTGATGGTGATTATTTTACATAGAGCAAGCAGGTACAAAGCGCTACTTTTTTCCAAAAAATACATGCATAGTTTAACCAGCTGGCTCACCTCCATTAAGACTATAAATGAATGATGCACCATTTGGTATAAGTCCAACTACCACCAAATATATTCCCAGTGCAAACAAAATTGTCTTTCTCGAAGAAAAACAATTACATTTAATGCTCTAGAAAGAAAGAGAGAAAAAAAGTAAAACCACACTTGTGTTTTCTTCCTATTTTGGTCTGAATTGGGAAAACTCCCCTCTTCCCCCAAATCACTTCTGAATACAGACRATCACACAACACTTTTTTGGGAATTAGTGACTGTCTTCTCCCCACAATACACTATACTGCTGACTGGGGATTATCCCTGAGAGCACCGGTCCTGGCAGACACTCCAAAAACAGGCAGTATCTCACAGCTTAAAGGAAAGGGGCATTTAATGTTGCGAGATCCAAGAGGTTAACAGAGTAATAATAATAAAAAAAAATGCAGCAAGGTTGAGCACTTAAATTCCCTGAGCTGAGTGAAATTTGGAGACAGTCATTTGTAACACTAAGCGTAGCAATATCTACAGCTGCACTTTCAGAAGCTGTAATTTTTACAGCAGTAAAGACAGGTGTTAAGTTACAAGCACACAGCAGTCGGTGTTCTCTTAGCTTTCTGGCACTGGAAATAAGATGGCCTTCTTTGGCGAGAGGGAGGCAGCACTGATGAAGCTCGATGTCTTTGGATTGTTTTGCCATCCGGTGTTGTAGAGATCTTTAAGTTACTGGTAGTGGAGCGACCACAAGGCCATAGTGCAGAACAAGCAAGCCATCCTAGAGAACAAAAAACAGAAAGTGTTCATTATACCAATTTGTTGCACCAGGCAGTGAAGGAAATAACAGAGAAGAAAGTCTTTGTGTGGCAGAACCTCAGTTTTAACCTCTTTCAGCATTTTATTCCATTCTACTTCCATATGGTAAATAAATTTTGAATATCAAGGTGGAGAAATACATCCCCTCTCTCCTCTTCCAGGTGAAGTGCTTTTTTTTTATTCTTTTCCTAAAAAGAAAACCCATAAAAATCTCTACAAATACACGTTTTAGTTTTATAAAAAAGGGAGTTCTTAAATACATATAATTGGGCCCATTTACAACTCATGCTGCTTTTTGCAGGATACTGAAAAGTAGGAAAAAAAAAGTTCTGAGTTAATACTTTTAGAAGGAGCCATCAAAAAAAAGTCTTTAACTTTAGTCACCAAAAGTAACAACCCCCCCAAATCTCACAGCTCACCACCCACCTCCTCTCCCCAGGAATATAGGGCAGGAATGCAGGAAAAGGGAAAGCCATCATTGCCTGAGCACAGGATTTGGATCCCAACCTCTAATCTTAATTTCACTAAATTCAATGATGGCTCTGGCAAATCACTTCTGCCTCTTAGAACTGGGGTAAGAGACAGAAAGGAGATGTGGAACATCACATAAAAAAGCACAACTGATAAGCATATAATTATATAGCTTCATATTTTTAAGTTGAGTCCTGCATATCTCAATAATATATGATTAAAATATAATTCTCTTACAGCAGTGTTGCTGATTATTTCCTTATATAGAACCAGTCGGAGAAACTCATGCCAGCAATTTAGCATTTCTTCCTAATTCTGGATGCACAGCTGTATTTCTCATTTAACCCCATGGTATTAATGAAACCAATCCGTATGCAGCGCATGATACTCCCTGCTTTCACGGGACTACTATTCCTACTCAACATGCCCAAAGGATTGTTGCCTCCTTGAGGCTGCAAGCATGGTCATACACCTCTTTCATGAAATTACTCTCCTCTTTCCTAGGGAGGGATTCCAGGAGGTTCTTTGCTTTCCTCAGACAGAATGTTCTTTTCCCACCCACTTCTTTTCCTAAAATAATGTCACTACACTGAAAAAGCCCAGAATAGTACTATGTATTAAGTGAATATGAGGGACATACAAAAAAAAAAACGGTACTTTAATAAGTTATGGCTCTGTTCCGAGTGTGCTCCACTTAACAGAAAAACACCATCTGCAAGACTATATGTTTCCTGGCTCATTATAGCTTATTTTACTTGTATCACTTAATGCACATGCAGCTGATAAGAGGTCTAGCACCCAAGTTGACCGGCAGTTCAAATCTGCTCGATCTCCTGATCTCCCGGTTATCTAACTAGCTGCTTTAGACCTATTTATATGGGCAGGTGCTAATAAAAGTTAGAAATTCTACCACATTTTTGTTTTAATATTTTGATCGACTTGCATGTAGGAACTAAGATAACTCATGTTTCAGACATTTTATGCATTTCTGCATGACAAAATGCAGCAGCACATAAAAAAATCTTTATTAATCAGTAGCAGTGGCAAATAAAAATTATAGTAGAAAGCTCCACATTATTCTTAGTTTTGAAAGATTTTTTTAAGAAAAAAGAACACAATAGTTGATTCTCTATGGGAAAAAAGGTTACTGGGTTGGTTGCATCAACTGCTTACAGTAATCTCTGAATGTTTCTGTCACAAGAAACCTAAAATTAAAGAACTGATGTCAAAAAGAATCAACAGGACTTGCTTTTCCATGCTTCCATGACATTCCCCTTGGCAATTATTTTCAGACAGTGCCTATCAACACCCTCATTATTTGTCTGAAAGATGTCTTCTTACTAGAAGAACAGCTTTGTTTTGCCTGCAGTGCCCCAATGCTCTTTCAACAAAAGAAAAACAAAACCAAAAGCCACAGAGATTAATTGCTGCTGGGTGCAACTACTTAACCTCCCCTTCTATTATCTGGTCTCTGAGATCTCTTTAGCAGCTCAGTGGGGTTTCTGGTCAACAAAGCTCTGTTTGGAAAGTAAAATATTGCAGCTTATCTGTGAAGAAAGAGAAAGCGGAACAGCAAGTGGAGTTCTCAAATGSGTTGAACAGACTCCTAACAAAAGAGATGAGATTTCCAAGAGTAGCAACTTTGCTTTAAGTAGCTTTGTCAGCATGCCCATTTAGGTTCTAAACTCAGCTTCTGGCCAATATTCTAACTGGTCAATATTCTAACTCAGGTCATGGTCAATGACYYRRGTCATTGACCTGAGCTGCTTCTGGTCAATATTCTGACTCAGGAAAAGACAGCAGCACAGGAGCCAGCAAAAAGAATAATGACAATAAACAAGAATATATCTGTTTTAGCAATGAAATCTGAAGTCCTAAGAATGGCCACACCAGGGCAGACCAAAAGGATGTCTAGCCCAGTGGTGAAACGCCTACATAAAAGTGTATGGAAAGAACAAATATGTAGTACTAAGCTCCCAGGAAACTCCTCCAGCCTCCAAAGCCTTACGCTTCTGCAACATCGTAGGTAAGATGTGGTTTTGCATTCAGTATCTTCTGTCTTGAAGCAACTTCTCTTCCATGAACTTGCTCAACCACTTTTCAATTCACAAACTTTTGGCATCTACAAATTGAATCCAAATGCCTTCYTAACTGATGTCAGTCACATGTTCCAGATGGATTACCAGAACAAGGGATTAAAGTGCAAACACTGAGAAAATCTGGCCAAAATATTCTAAGAACCTCAAAGAACAACCAGATATTGAAAAAGTCAAGCTGAAAAATGGTCAGCACATACACAAACTAATTACAGGCTGCAATATACATATAAATACATAAATATATTAAAACTGTACATATACATACACACACTAACTCTACAGCTAGGTGATCCAACCACTACAACCAGAGTAACAGCAAACAAGTCCATGAGTCTCACTGAAACATTTCACTTCCCCTTAAAGGAAGCTTATGACAAATTAGGGCTTGGTGCAGGCTAGGTGCCAACACCAATCTTAACTTCAATGAACAGGAATGCAAAGACAGCTATTAAAAAAAGAATTATTTTATTGTTGTTTTATTACTGCCAGCTCACTAACTTTCACTTCTCATCCTGCTAATTACTGGGAACCCACTGCTACTCCTAAAAGGATACTGTAAAGAGAGCATTTATTTACCCATTTACTCAATGCCTAAAGCAAACTGGGATGACTATGGTGCATTGAGAAGATAGGATCCTGCTCGGTGAAAACACAAGATTTCAGAATACCAAAGACCTTTCTCTATTTGCTCAGTATAGCAGTGAATTGTAGCAAGCCTACTAACAGGCTAATTCTGTAGTAACAAAAGGCGATACATCCTTGGGGAATGCATGCCAAGATAACTGTTCTTCTTGAAGTTGCTGACTGGTATTTAGCAACTAAACAGTCACACAAATACATTTCTAAGAAACTAAACCCAGTTTCCTTTAAATCCTTTCCCAATGATATTTTTCTAACATGRAAAGCTTCTGGGAGGATGAAGTTTAAAAGCACTTAAATTTGTCTATGAATCATTTCCATGATGTGTACTGAAGTTTACAGTAGAGGGTATTTCATCACCATGTTCATTATTGCCTTATTTACATCATTTCATAAAGTCAGAAGTGAGTTTACAGTCAGTGGCTTTCTTTTCCTAGTTTCTGCCCCTCACGCCCTGCAGATTGCATTGCCATTTTTTTGTCAATTTTCTCTGTAATGAGCCAAGTCACCAAGTGACATTCACTTCAGTTTGAGGTGAAAGAGAATAAAGTTCACAAGCTTCAAAGTTTTAAAGGTCCATGATCACTACATCAGTCATACGCAAATCCCAGGAGGGGCAAATCAGAAAAGGACATGGACTACACAAGATTACTTGAAACGGGCACTCGCTTCTTACCCCAACCAAGAATTCCTCTTGCAGCATTAAAGGCTTTAAGTGGAAATTTAAGCACACAGTATTTTGTGCATGTGTGTGCAAGCAACTCAAGTAAACCGAGTTTGCAATTACTTTAGCTTTTATGCCAAGTCTTTAGGTTACTTTTCAAACATATTACAGTAAGAATATACATTTAAAATACAATTTAGGCCAGTAGTAGATTAGCCATTATTTCAGACTTTCAAAGGTTACATCATGGTTTCCATCTACTCCCTACTCTGCACTCAAGAGACTACTGTGTTGCTGCTGTACTTCTAAAACAGTTCGACTTCTCTCACTATAAAAACACTTGCAAAGAATCCCAAGGAATTAAATAATGCTCGTCTGCAACAGTCAAAGCTATCAACAAGAAGTTGCCGACTATACAGTCGGGCTGCTTTCAGGAGCAAAGCCGAAGAGATTTGGTATGTGACTTCTCCAGACAAGTTGGTGCTAGCTGACAGTTAACAAAGGAGCGTTCTATTTTAAAACACAAAACCAAGAACAAAGTCACTGCTAGCACACCTACCTGTATTGCACTCTCTCCTATGACCTGACGAATTTCCCTCAGTGTCTGGAAGTGTTCTAGCAGGTGATCACCACAGATAATGTCTACCTGTGAAAGAACACAAACATGGTTAAGAGTTCAACCTGTCCTTGGACAAGTAGAAGAGGATCTAAGCACTTAATATTGGGCATTTCATAAAGCAAATCCAGTGCTGGTCAGGCAAGTGCTGTTCTAGCATCTTGTACATCTGGAACAGAGGGGACAGCTTGTTTTATTCCCAATTTGGTCTTATTGCTGAAAAGAAAGCTGTTTAGTAATAGCTGTGATGCATTCAATGGGAACTGGGATTACATGCATTAAAGTTGTCTCACACGCATCCGGCATTAGTCATCAGCTTCAAGAAAACGGTAAATTGCCTGTGCTACTGGCAGGAGATTAAACAGTGCTACCCTCATCCTTATCCTGAGTGAGAAAACACATATGTCTGCTTACTAACACCTGCTTGAGAAAAGCGGCTCAATAGAAAAGAACAGCTCACTGCATGCTACTGCCAGCCAGTGCCTCCCACAGCCCTTCCTCAAAACACGGGTACTTTGTGACACGAGTGAATGGCTACRCAGCAGTTCTCAGTAACATCCTCCACTGCAGCAAAACTATGTCAGGAATGCCCGCAAACCTGGAGGAGGCACTAGCATCAAGCAATCGTCCACAAAACCAGTTACTGCAGAATACAGCAGCTGATGCAGAACTAGAGGTTCTGTAATCCTTGCCTTGATTATTGTGGATTTCCTTATAAAATTTCCTTATAAAAATATTATTGATTTAGTAGGTGACACTAAGAAACTGTGTATAGTGTAAACCCAGTCTTTAACATTTCAAATTATGAACTAACAGCACAGTTACATTCTTTCACAACTGCAGCTGGGTTATATTTTTCTTATAAGCAATTTCTAAGCAGGGAAATGAGAGGGTTCTCATCTCTGAGTTAGTTATAATGACCGAACTGGAAATTAAAAGTTAAGAGCATTGACATTAAGCTGTCCTACAACTTTCTGCAACCTGAGCTTTGCACTGCAGTAGTCAGGAAGACACTGCAATATCATTACATATTCTCTTACATGGCCATATWGAGGGACTCTACTAACAGGGTTCACTGTTTTCTCTTTCAGCTACTTAGTTTGTCTGGATTTCTATTCTTTTGCATACTCACCCACTATTTTTCTCTTGTTCTTCATGAAAAGATTCTGAAATTATGTCTCAYGCCGGTTCATTCCACTGAGACTCAAAATGGTTAAGTTACTTTACATCATCTGCAATATGACAACTATGCAGTATACTCCATCCCCTTTGGGCTACGCTTTAAATAATGCTGCTAAAACGGGCGGAAGATGTAAATGGCTTAGTACTATTTCTGGTTTTAACTTTAGGAATAAATCATCATATAAAAATTAATCCACACACAATATTGAACACTTAAGACCATTAACCCCAATAATGACTTTTTTTCTTTGTGTGTTTGTTTTGGTAACATGAGTATTTAATATATTTTAAAGACAGAACCTGAAAGAAACAAATACTTTTTATTTTTGAAAGCAGTCTACAATTATTCCTCCTCTGCTTCCCTTGCACTGTAGCCTGTATAATTATTACCCAGGGAGGAAAGACATGTCTGCTTTCTGGTGACATTAGATTGAGATTAATAATATCTTATAATTACACATACCATAAGGTACTGAAAACTGAAACTCTTCCTACACTGGTGTGTGGGTACACATTTGTAAGCATACACATAAATGTATTCTATATAAAAATGGAAAAAAAAATCTATTTGTCTGCTATAGAATATAAAAATGCAGTGGCAATTGCTGACAAACTTGTAATGCAGAACGAGAACACTTGCTTGGAAATACTCCCCTGTTAGCCCTACTGTTCCACTTTCAAATGATAGTCATTAAAGATTCAGTACCTTCAAATAAATTATGGAGAACCATTTTGGACATCCATCTCTTTAGGGTGCTCTGAATACCAAATGCCTAATCTCATTCGAGCACCAGAACCTGAATTTCTCCTCACTAATTGTTACACTAAGATTCACTCTGAAAGGAGAATAAAATATACAATGAATATAATGCCAGCAAAAGTATGGAAATCAGTTGCAAAATAGCTGTCTCGGAGGTATTCTTGCGCAAAACAAATTAATATATTCTATGTACAAAAGATGCACCAATGTGATACAAATTTACTATAATCTCAACTGATAAAATTACAGCCATCTAATACCAACAGCTGAGAATTAAAAACACATTTTGACCTTTAGCTGCAAAATGACGACACGACTAACAATTTTTGTCACAGCTGGCAAAATTCTTGGCAAAATAAAGCAGTCTTTCCATTATATCACTTATTTTCATTAGGTGGCATGTTTGCTGCACACAATAGCTATATATCTAAAAGCTGACAATTACAAGTTAATAGCCATCAGGTAAAATAAAGGTAAAATGGGAAACTCATAYAGGTTATCCAATATAAGGCTCATCCTAAGGATAAATTTGGCCCAGGAAGCATTATTCTTTTCTGAATAATATGAGTTGTCATATAAACTATGCATGGAATGACCAAAAAAACAATCAGAGGCTACCCTTAGTATTAGGGCTAATTATCCAAAATTTAGCAAAACTTTCTGCTTGCTTCAGCTGCTGTTTACTCTTCCAACACACCAAATAAATCTATTTAGTAGTCTAAGACTAGCATGAAGAGACTGTAGCAGCAACTATACAATGTGAGCACAGACTTGTTTCCAATCTCTCCTCACAGGCTCCAGTTTCCACGTACACTTTCAGGACTGCACATTAGGGAACAATTCTATCCCATAAATCACATTAATGCCTTCAGATCAAATGAGATGCAAGTCTCCACTCTGCAGTTAAGGGATTGCTCAGCTAATTCTGGCAAGAAAGGATAACGCCACTACAGGATACTCAAATCAYGTGACATATCCCACCAGCTTCCCATTTTCTCTCCATTCTTAGGAGAAACACAAACTGTACAGATGTATATCAGATGTCAAAGCTAAGAGTTCCATACACCACTGCCTGTATTTAGTTCAAACTGAATGTTACCTACTTAGCTCTGAGTAGTAATCCCCAAAAGGCTCTCTCAAAATCTCAATATCTCCTCAAAAAAAATCCAAATAGAATATTCAAAACTTTGTAAGTAGAAATATATGCACACACATAGGAAATTAWTGCCCAAAGCACAGAGATCAAAATAAAGGATACATATGAATAAAATATAAAAAGGATATATATCAGTCTGTCATCTCAAGTGATATAAACAAACAAAGCCTTAACCTTTCACGTTAAATAGCAAATTTGAATCACAATCCATTTGAAAACTCATTTAAGAGTCAGCAAATAACTTCAGGCTTGCAGGCTACACACCAGAAAAGGTAGTAGATTCAAAGTTGCCTTTAGATGTGCATACAGTGTCACACATGAGAAAAATGGTTTCTCCTTTCATATTTTCATTAACCACAAACCACCCCACTTATACAAGTCTACAAAAAAGTGCAAATATTAGCTAAGATTACACAGAAATAAATCAAGTAAAAAAAGTCTAAAAAAGTAATTTGGAATAATGAGTCATACACACTTTTCATCAATAATGAAGAATATACACAAATGTATTAGCTTTAACAGGGAAGAACTAAAATGCTCCAAATAATACTTTTGCAGACTAACAGAACCAGCTGCTTGGTAAGAACCATTTCACTCACAGAATCCCAAAACTGCTGTCCTTACTGAAAGCGTCAATAAACCAAGGATATAATGAATACTCTAAGGAGACAGAGGAAGAAGGACACACAAGCCTTCCTCTCACAGTAAAACTCAAGTTCCAGGTAGAGCATGATTAAACTCTGTGCCATTAACAGATTTCTGTAAATACAAGCAGGAAAAAAAGTCCCGCAAGTGTAGAGCACATGAGCAGAAGAGTGACTGAAATTGATGCTTTAGTGAAAGGAACTTCCTATCCTTCCAGAAGGATATGGTTCTCGGATTCTAAGACACATTAAGCTCATGACATTTTTATGCAGAAATCAGTTATTTTAGGTTAATTATTAGTTATTCTTCATCAGAATGATGAAGAATTASAAAGACACAAATAAAGACAAAAATATTATTAAAAAAACACGTTGCTCTAAATTAGCATTTACTGTTCAACATACATGAGGAAGCCTACAGCAAGTGAATCTTTACAATACATACTTTGGATTCTTTCCATACATAATTGACAGCTTATCTCCCTACCTGCTTGTGTCTGTGCTGATTTAAACATATTTTCCTCCTTAATTTACTGTCTGCATCTTATGAGCTACTCTTGGAAGCTACAGTAAGACATGACTCATCAGTCTTTTTAATCTTCAGCAACACATCTGATATCTTTTCCTCTCCCTACATCTTTATCAACAAATCATAAGCTTCAGTTTTGCATATTACAGTGAATGACAACAGTTTGGTACATCTAATACTGCCTTACCTCTAAGTCTTCACAAGGCACAGAAATGATGAATCAACATATGAAAAATAGCCCCTGGTTCATTTTCTAATTTCCTAGCTTTCAAAAATAGGCCTGAATATGCTCTGGAAATCATGCAATTTGTAGCCTGAAAAAAAAATACATCTTTCTAGTGCCCAAGAGAAATAAGCAGGAAATAAATAAACAAAAATCAATTAAGGAAAAAAAAAACCAGAAAATCAGATAGAGGATCTGAATGTGGAAGAATTAGATGCCTCTTCCAGATGGGCCTTCTCTACGTATACTCTGCCTGATACTAGAATTACCTTACTGCAGAGTATCACATTGGATACTAGCAGAGATAAGTGATGTGGTCAGCATATAGTCATATCATCTTGAGAAAGTAAGGCTCTAAAGTCATCAGCTTTCTTAGATACAATTACCTTTCTTCATTAAGACTGGATCACTTCTTGTCTGGTGAAGTCCAAGAAGACAGCAACAGAGGGGTGAGAACAATTTCTCAAGTAAACTCTATTAGACAATCTCAAGATTGTAAAATCTGGAAGATACTCAAAGCACATATCTAGCTTGATTTTGACAGGCTAATATTTGTGGTTTTCATTATGAATGCTCAGTATTTATGAAAACTTGAGATATGGCATAATCCCTTCACCTCAAATAAACTGCAAGTTCATTAATGTAAGAGGTTTCCCTAGCCTCAACTTGAGGAAGTTTTTGTTCATAATATCAAGGCAGTACCACACGACAAAGAAACTACAGAGACTCTTACCAAGAGAAAATCAGTAAGTGAAAACAGTACTCCTTCAGGATGATGAATAATTTATATCCAATTTGTTCTGTCACCACAGAAAAAGCAGGCAATGCAGTGTTGCCTCAGAAAATTACCGCTTTATGAAACAACCTTAACTTCTACCACATCGGTTCTCATTAGCAGCAGTGGATTTTCCAATAAACAGCATTTACAAGAACCATTTATACATTATGAAACTCATGAAGCCTTCATAAAATAAATATCAGCAAACATTCAGTTAGGAGTTGGGACTACATATCAAGTYTATAGATCTCTATAGCTTATAATATAACATTGAGATTGCATAGCAAAATCTTCTCATCAACTTGGCTGAGAAATGGAAATTCTTTCATTTCATGTTCTGTTCCACCAAATTTTAAATTTGAAARCAGGTGCCTACATTTAGCACTCACAGCTTTCATCTCAACCCATCCACCCAAAATATCATCATCCTTTCCCATCCTTCTCCGTTTGCTTCATTCAGTGTTCAGCACAATTTACTTCTACTCAGCTCTTATCTCTGTCTCTGACATTATATACTCCCATGCTTCAACACYTTCCTGTCTATGCTTAGTTTTAGACAGCATTATCTTTTGCTTTTGGATTTCAACTGCTGAAATTTTACATGACACTTTAGAAGTTTTGTGATTCTTCTTTATTCAGGTAGAAAAATTAAACACTGCAAGTGAGTTGGGAGTCGCAAGTGAGTTATTCCTTGTGGATCACTACATTTAGTAGCTCAGAGCATTGAACTATATTACTTCTATMTTGTAAGGTAAGGTGTTCTGTCTGRAGCATACACATTACATTGATCATAGTGAACTGGTAAGAAACAAATACATCATCCACTTAACATGGTAGAAGGAAAGGTTTCACTCTATAAAAAGCTTGCCAGCTTTACAGCATACCTGACAACCAGGATCCAGATCCATCTTCCTTCTGAGAAACTTCTCCACGTGTCCAATGGTTGCCTCCCCTGAAACACGCACAAACTTCTTTTCCAAAGGCTGCAAAGAACAGACACGAGATTTTAAGACAGTGCCACCATTTTCAGCGACCAACCCCCAGAAAACCCCAAACATTCCTGGAGGCCCAACAGAACAAGGGAGGACAACTTAACTTTTGGGTTCTTCTCTCACCTACTTCCCAACGATCCCATAAAAAGGAAATTAAATATGAACTAATCAGACTATGGTTTCCAACTTCCTATTGAAAGCAATGCTTTGACTTCATTATTTTTGCATTACTTAAGTACTGGGGCATGAGATTTGCCATCACAGAGAAATCAGTATCACAGACTTCCAAGAACTTTTATTTCAGAAAATAAAATTGTTTACTCAGAGGCACATTAGCGATATTTTCTAAAATCTGCTTATTTTGCCCAAATCAGGCTTGTGTGCCAAACAAATTCAGAAAATAAAACCAAGTCACTAACACATGGAGCTCTGAAGTTCTTTACTATGCCAAAAGTATTATGGCCTGAGTGGAATCAATCTATGAAATTCTGGATCACTTACTATATGCTACTATGTAGTACACTAGGGCAAGTCTGGTCTGAAAACTCATATAATTTCTAATTAATTTGAAAGGAAGGACCTCAGTAATTAAATAACTATTACATCAATCTCAAATATTTTAGTGGTTTTCTCTTCTATGGATAAAATTTTAAACAGTTCACTCTTGATATGGATAACTAAGTGAATAATAATAAAGGCAAAGCAGATTATGGCAATGCATGTTGATGGATTCTGAATAGTTGTGATTTACTATCCAGCTTCATCATATTCTTCCTATTTGAAATAGGATTAGTCTATCCTTTAATTAAACCTTGAAGGCACATATGTATCCATGATAACGGTGGATTTGGGAGAATAATTTGATCAATACATTTAAGAGCTAGGAATATCAATGAGAACTTGAGTACCACAAAACTACAAGTTTGGAGATGACATGTACAATCCCAACCTCTCCCTCAGCATAAAACCAGCAAACCCTCTTGCATATGTAGTTCAATGTTTAATTCAGACAAACAGGATAAACAACTAAGGAGAAAATAATGCTAAGATGAGGATAACTTTTGYGGAAAGCAGATATTAAGAGAGATGTGCAAAGATGATGAGCAAACATTTTGGACAAAGAAAGCAGGAAGAACAAGGAAGTACAAAGGCAGTAAAGAAAAATATAAAGAGAGGGAAGAAATGACAGTAGGCTAAAGTAGAGTTAAGATACACTGAAGAAGTTTAAAATGGTGGAAAACATATACTAGTTAGGACTTAAAAACATCAATGACAAAAACGTTACAGTTATTTCTTAATCTCTCAAATCTAAATGCTAAATGGCACTTCAGTCCATGGATAAGTCTACCATATCAGTAAGACAATTCACAGAATGGAACTATTCACAGGGAGTAAATATAGGCAGCCCTTCCTCACCACTAACACTAGAGTTAAAGTAACCAGGACATTACTTATTACTTAAAAAGAAATACACATAAAAAAAATCCCGTTTCCAAATCATAAAAACCCCTTAATGATAAAACAGCTCTGTTTGTTTGTCTTTTTAAGGCAAAAATGTTTCCTCTGAAACAGCATAAACCTTTAAAAAAAATGACACAGTTGAACTGTCCTACAATTATTCTTATTGGGCCCAGGACAAATAGGATGAAAACAAAAAACAAACAAAAAAAAAGAGATGAGAAGGATATGAAGCAATATGAAGGGAAGAAACAACAGAAAAGGAAAGTCAAATTTAAAAAAAAAAAAGTAAGAAATATGTGGAAGTAGAAGAGAGAAGTCAGAGATGAAAAATGAAGAAAATTGAAATGGGTGCAATTTCAGGAAAATTCCTTCCCTTCTAGAATTGTAGTCATAATTCAGCTCTTTGGGAAAATGAAGCCTTTTTTCCCTCTGTATTTTTAAGTTTTGTTTGAAATTGCATGCTATGCTCTGACATAACAAACACTATTAGTGTTATAAATAGCATTGGCAATTGCAGTCTCATTGAATTGTTTGTATTTTTGCCAGAAAATATATTGATCAGAAATCAATACAGCTGAAAACAAAGGAAATTAATAAAATGGAACAATTAAGACAATTGATGCTTAAGTTAATAAAATGCCTTTTGCATTTTTTCATTTGCATTTTCTTAAATAGTAAAATTAGCGTTTCTCTGCTGAGCCAATTTAAGTATCTTACACTCCATTCTTCTGTGCCTTTCTGTATCTTTTTATTCCTCCAATTCTGATACAATGGAAAATTAAGTGTTATATATACACTGTGTAATTTAAAATTATATCTCCTTGTCCCCAAATAGAGTCTGTTTTGTAAATGTTTAGCCAAACAGTGAAATGAAATCCTCTGAACATCTCTAATTACAGACTATGAAATCATGAATGCAGCAGACAATGTGAGTTTGTACCAATTCAGCTCACTAAGAACAGCAATATTGGAAGAACAGCCATACTCTTTAGCAAGGATGAGGAATAGTCCCCATTCACACAGTGATTTTTGTTAGCCAAAACCTCAAGAGAATCAATTTACTGCTAGATAAGGAAGTTTAATGCAAGGACTAGTAAATATATATATACACCTATTTTTTGTTGTATTTTTCAACATACATAATTCCATTGTTAAACCTCAGGCTACACTCCCTCACTCTATGTACATGCTTCACTACAGCTAGGGAAACCTTTTCAGAACCATTAGTTTAAGACAATGGCCATGCCCTTGCGTAGGATTCCAAGAACAAGTCACAGCAATGCTTCAACTGGAGGAAGATGCAGGAATAACTAGCCAGAAACATCTAGAGGAAATTTCATTAGCAAGTTCCCCTTCTCCCACCAAAGAAAGAAAAAACAAACAAACAAAACCCTCTAACATCTAAGGAAATCTGGTCTTTTCTGCTAGTCTTTTTCTACTCAGTGATGTTACACAGCAGTAGATTTAAAAGCACACTRTAATCCAGGATTACTTTTATGTTGAYCAAAGCTCAGGTTGCATGTTGCTCAAGAGAAACAGAGATAAACTAAATTAAATACATTTAAAACTGCACATATTTTTCAAGTAAATAATGTAAGAAAAAAATCAAGTCACATCTGCACCTTAAAATTCCCTGTGCCTTCGTTAGCTCTGAAAAACAAGAGAAGAGTAAACACAATCAATATTGCTAAGGTAAACAGTTTATTAATACTCTTCAAGCTCTTAAATCAGTAAGTCACTATTATAACAAGGAGCCTAGCATATCAAATTCCATTTTTTTTTTTCAAATCAAGCTCTTCCTTTCGTTAAAGCYTGAGAAATGAAATAACAGTAGCCTGAATTTATATATCTTTCTCCTACCCTTTACTTGGAACCCCTTTTACTACTTATATCTTTAAATTCAGCCTTCATGCAATGGAAAAGGGGGGAAAGAAAAAAAATCAACAAAATGCAGCTTAACATTACTTTTTATTTATGCCCTAACATTAATTTTCATAGGAATAGGTTGCTATATTAATGTTGTTTAAACATCCATAAGTATCCTGTCCTCAATATTTGAAATTTTAACAGACTGTGCCTAGGAGTTGCTGACAGAACATGCCAAACCATTGCAGAGASTTCCTTTCCCGGTAGAGATTTCCCTGGCCCAAACACCAATCTTCTAGACTACTATATCATTGCATTAATGTTTGCGCTATCTAGGAACTTAGGTAGCAAATGCCTCTCTGGAAGGTGGTACAAAGGTGGCAAAGGATCAAAGCCAGCTGGCTTTATGGAGGCTTTAACTTATTGATTTGTCCAGTCCCTGCACATGAACTACTGATTATGCACTGCAGTACAAGATGGGAAACGCTGAGTACATAAAAATGTCTTCAGGAATTATGTCCAATGCACAGCCTCTCTCTACTCTTGCATTGCATTAGTGAGTGTTTGAACGAGAGAAATGCAATCATTCACTATACTGGAGAAGGTATTAAAAAAAACAATCTCTATAAATAAATTGTATTTCTACTGAGTAGTTGGTATGGCAAAAAAAATCTAAAGCTAGCACAGAACACACATTAGCATGACACTTAAGGCTACAATATTTAGGTAATTCCATATCTAAAATATGTACCTTGAGAGAGAGTTAACATCAAGCTCTGTTGCTGAAATAAAATTTAGAGGTAGTATACCAAGGTCTAGAAGCTTCTCTACTTAAGCATGCTCTTTGACGTACTTCAATAGCCATGGGAAAGTTTTAACCATTTAACATACTCCAGAGATCCAGAGACRATACCGACAATTTAAAACAAACTTTTAGAGTAAAAAACTTCTGTTGAATGGTCCTATCTGTTCCTACTTTATCCACAGAGCTTTCTGAACCTCTGATTGCCAAAGAGGTAGATAGACTAACTCTTCAACATGAGGCATAACAAAGATTATAAGTCATTAAAATAAATTGCRAAACAGAAATAAAAAGTAAAAATGAATTCAAAACACATAATTAGAAACTTGGGGGTTTGTGAAGTTTCTTATTAGAAACTTTCTGTGGTTCCCTCCATCTGAGTAATGGAAACACACACAACAGTCATACAGTGTTTGTGCTATTTGTACAATATTACTTGCTTTGCTACCACAGCAATAGAAGCTTCAAATCAGACTACAGAAAAAAATCTAAAAGTCAACTAGTTTCACACATGGACATGTGGATTACTTCCAACGTCTCAATTCCTGACATCTTCCTCTTACAAATAAATGTACCTGCTGATAATCACAAGAGAAAAAAAAAAAAAAAAAAAAACAGGAGTCTTTAGCAGGAGAAATCATAAACAAAGTACCTTCACTCCAAGGAATCTGAACTGTATCTATTTCTTCAACCAACATAGTCTCATGGAATTTTTATAGAGTTTCTAGAAACAATGTTTGAACTTGAAAGGGACACACTTACAACAGAAATCTAGTTTCAGATCTTAAAGTGATTTTACAGTGTAACTGGCAATGTATCATTGACAAAGATACAGAACTCTTGGTATAAGGATGTTTCAATGCCCCTGTGCTCCCTCTGCCTTTCACCGGCCCAGTACAGCACTGGCTGGTACCCATAAGGCATCAAAAACTGCACCAGGATCCTGACTTCATGAGATCACAGCTGAGACAATTAGATAACTGCATATAAAAGGAAGTTTCAGTTAAAGCATTTTACCTTATGTCTGTGTACATCCAGTTACTCACATTATACCCAACTAACAATCACATGCCAGAACAGAACTGCACTAATAAGATCATGAATTTTATACTGCGTTTATTACGGAAGAAAAAAAAATCAAAAAAAAACTACAAATTAAAAATATACACATCAAATTTAAAAGGTTCACTAAGCAGAACAGACAATGGTCACTCAATTTATCTCTATATAATGTCTTGTTTCTCTCCATATTCAGTACTTGACTATGGCTTTATTTAAGAAAGCTCTGTTTTTAATGGCAAAAGCATTAATTTCCTCAGTGRTCTCATTTCTTCATACAAATGAATGCATCTGCATGTCTTCCTACTCAGCAAGATGGCAATATCATACTTTATTTAGAAAGAGGGGCCTATGATTGTGCCAGGATGTTATCACGAACTGCAGATGCACCATTAAGACATATAAAATGAGCCCCACTGCTTTCCATTGCAATTGTGAGCATTCAGCATTTCTGCATGTCAAGCACAGTGAAAGACATCAAAATTATGTCATGTGTATAGATTCACATGGAGACTATATCACAGGCAGGGTTGGATCTAGTTTTCTACTGGTTTAACTGAAAGACAGACCTTCTCTTCCTGCAATCATACTTCTCATTCAGTTAAATTTTTGGTGTGTAATTTTTTCTTTGTTTGTTCATCTACACAGAAAAGTTGCTCTTTAAGTGAAATGGAATTATTGGACAAAAATACAAAAAGACTATATAATGATGTCTACAAAGAATGAGATACAATAAAGATGGCATGCTTTGCTGCTCGAATTTCCCAATATTTGAACACTTGACTTCACATCATTTGTGTAACAGTTTGCTATGATTATATACTCAAGTTCTCCAAACAATTTGTTCAGACAAAATTAGACCAAAAGCAGGCACAGTCTAGGTAAAAGGGTAAGAGTTGCACAAAAGTCAAGCTGATCCCTCCCCGCAAAATAAAGTGCTCTGCTATGAGTGACTACCAGAGCTGTTAATGCTCTCCTGTAAATCTACACAAGGAAAAAGCAAAGCAGTGCAATTTCTCCTTCTAGGTTCCTGAAAACAGCTCTAGTACTAAGTACTTCAATTTATATTTAAGGGTGATTTCTGACACAAACACTTCAATTGCTGATTGGGTTGGCCAAATTCCTTTTGGGCATCAAGTTCCTAATGCATTGTCCAAGAAGCTCTTCAGCTCAAAATATCAGAAGCCTGTGTAGTGTGAAGGTATTTCTCCTGCTGAAGTAACACCACAGCTGCATGAAGACTGTTTCTACATAGTTGACTGGTGACAACAATATACTAAGTAACCTGTACTGCGCAGCAAAGCAGGATTAGTTATAAGACTCTTCCAGGCAGAATCAGAGTGATACTATACATTGTAATTTCAGCTAACATACTCCAATCACTTCACACATGGTAGGTATCCGGCAGTTAAGCGGGATAACTGCTCAAAACATCAATACTCCAATCACGGCCATTTCAGTGCCATTTCCTTACTTTTCTTTCCCCAGTTCTGAACTGTTACAGCTTACCTTCCTAGTGAGTTGTTTCTAGAACATAGCATTTTCTGGCTAATAAGCATGTAATGATGTACAGTTACAGCCCCATGGTCACCTGAGCCAGGGCTGGCAGAGTCAGCATCAGCAGCACTGCCACCTACAGGAATTATGGGAGTGTAGGAGAGGCAGATCTCATTGTCACTCAGCTTAACAAAACTACATTGCTTTGTCAAAAATAAACAAAATRGAGGTAAAGTTTTAATATTTGAAGCTTTTTAAGAAGCTCTTTTCATAGAAAGATACCTTCAGTGCTTAACTGTACAACTAGTCACTAGTCATTGCTGACTTTGGCTACCTGCTATTGAAGATGAAAAAGAACRAACACTTTCAGCGAAACCTGAGAGTCAGTAACGGTCCAACATGCACAAGCAGCATCCTCACAAGGCATCTACTATTAAATTTGCCCATAACTCACCCAATGAACTCCAGAAGTATTGAGATATCAAGCTCTGGTGGGATCCGGAACACAGAGCCCAGAACTTTTCGAGGTCTTCCTCGGCTCACTGGAACTGGCTGGGGGACAGCTAAAATATTCAAATAGTCGAAACGCAGATACAACTTGAAATAAAAAGAACATAAGATGCTAACAACACACCAAGAAAACTAAGAAGAAATGTCCATGTAATTCATTCTAATTATTCTACTAAATCAGCTCTTTGTTCATTGCATTCTGTGCATTTGAACCATTAGCATTTTCCTAGCATTCAGCACAGCACCTCCTCAAACAGATTTAACAGCAAAAACAAAACAAAAAAACCCACACAGACTCATGGGCTCTCGATTTCTTCTTACTCTTACGTCTTCTATCACTTAAGGTAAGAAAATAAAAATAATGTTCATTTCATAAGAATTTCCTTCTAGGAAGATCTGTAACTTAAAAATAAGAAAATACAAACACAACCGGATTTCAAGTGCTGTCAGTGTCATCCTACAGCTTGTGTACTGTGACCAATCACAGTAATCAACAACGAATAATCCCATTTCTATTTCTTCAATTGTGAACTTCTATTTCAAAGGAAGTCGTTAAGAATTAATGCTAYAGCAGCATTAATCTCCTTATCTCCTCTTAAAATGACTACAGCTCACCTGGTTTGGGAACTTCTAGTCCTCTTTCTTTATAGAAGTCATGCATCTGTTTCTTCTCTCCTGTGAAGCACAACACAGAACAGATTGGAATATTACAGAGGCTGAGAATAGCAATATAGTTTCCTATAGACAGAACAGTTCTGGTTAACATTAGCAGAGGCAATGAAAGTATCAGCAGACTTTCACTATCACTAGTATTCCCTACTATGCTGAGCTACTTGAGGTACCTAGACTAAGGTTTTGTTAATAAAAACAAGAAATATAATCAGACAAGTGAGCCATAAAACATAATGAACAGGTCATAAAACTAGCATCCTTCTGATTGTCAAGATTTCATTTATCTGTCTCTATATATACATGCACACTGCTCTAAATTTAGAYTACATAGGTATGTATCTTTCTCTCAGTTTACCCCAGTGGACTGTATAGCACTATCAGATTCATTGTCTCCTCAAACTCAAGATAATTGGCATGTGACTGTAAATGTATCTAATAAATCAGAAAAAGAAACGTGCCAGTGAGAGAAAAATAACAGCACTTGAGAGAGCTGAGCAGTCCTAGCAACTTTTTTCAATGAAGACAAATTAACCTATCCTGATTAGAATAACATTTACTGTACACCAACAAMAACACAAAGCATGATACTAGAATATGATCTAGATGGTTTTCTGGAAACAGAGCAATATTTATTTCATGACATTAGAGAGCAAAATAAAACACTTCCTACACAATTGTCTGCTTTGTCCAATAGCAGACCTGGAACAGGACTTTCAAAAATATCAACGTAAACTTAACTTTAGTATTATTTCACTGTAAGGATAAAAAAAACAACATATACCACAGTATCTTAGCAGTCAAAGAGATGCTAGTTGGTATGGCTATTCACTAAGATTCAGARTCAAGTTACGCCATATCTCCTAGTTTTCTGAAAAAAAAAAGTTACAAAACTATTTTAATGAGCCCAGTATAGAAATGGGGCTGTGAATTATTCTCTTTACTTTCAGTCTTTGCAGTATCTAGATGATAATAAAAATAAAGCGACTTACTTTCCTCTAAATTGACAACTAATTTATATACTATGTCTTGCAATTGCCGGTCCAGTCTATAAAAGAGGGAAATCATGAAAGTGAGTGCCTTTCAATTTCAGAAGTCTAAAGTACTTAAGTTATTAAAAAGATGGATAATTCAGGAAACATGCTATAACATATCTTTGGTGCGTTACAGAATCATTTACATTAAATCATAACAAAGCTGCCAGATACATTGTTGAAACAAGTGACTGATGCAGCTGCTGATCCGCCTTCCTAAATTCAAGTCTAGACAACTCAGCTCCAGTAAGACAAGTCACTCAGAGACGAAAARAGTTGAAAATAGTTAAAGAAATGAAAACTCTAGTTTCAGCGATAGTAACAAGTATACCAYGCAAACAAAGCCTTGTCTAAAAGGCAATGAAAGCAACTAGTTATGATTTAGTTTCTGGGCAAATGCCGGAAAATACCTACTAAGGTGCAGAAAAAAAATAAAACAACAAAAAAATCAAAACATCAGAAACTAGAGAAAAGAAGAAACTGAGCAATCATATTTTCACTGTGTGTTTCTTGTAACTGTCTCTTCACTAGCAATAGGAAGGCACTACGAGTTGGTAAAACAACACCAAAGAAGCCTAAAAGAACACACTTGAAGTACACAGCAGAACTTCATGACAAAAAATACACCTATAAAATGGCATGAATTTATTACCTGATATTATAAAGGGGCTGCGTCTGATGTACAACAATATTRCATTTTGGACATCTGTTGCTGTAGTAGAAGTGTCTCACAATGCAGCTTTTGCAAACTGTAATAAAAACAAACAAAACACTTAAGTCACATATCCTTTATACAACAGCATTTGTAAGATGCAAGAGAAGAAATTACACTCAGTTTTGTCACATACAGCTTGCTTGAGAGTAAATCCTTCAGCAGTGCTGTAAAACTCAAACCACAACTCTATCTATACAGACTTCAGCACTCCCTAGTCCAGATAGTTCACAATATCCTACCAATTGATACAAAGCAAGATGTTGAATATTACAACTGTGATATTTGGGAAAAAGCAGAGCTAAGTCAACAGAACACTGCTGTAAACAAAAAGTCTGCTGAAAAAAAAGTTGCACATAATATCATATCTTAATTTTTCTACTGAAACTAATTCTGCCTTTTCCATTCTATTTAACAATCAGAAAGGAACGCTAATGAGTAGGGATATCTGAAGTAAATATCTTTCTATCACAACAGTATAAAAGTTTCCTGTCACTTCCATCCATCTTCAGTGCTGTGAACAGTTGTCATCAGCAACAGTTTAGGAAACTTTCCTGTCCATTACGAGCAGTGCCACTCAGCTTTCATTTCTCAGTTACATCCTTAGTACAAATTCTTGGAACCTACTTTAAGGGTATWTGTAATAGGTCTACTTTTGTTTTACTTGGTCTACATCTTTCTTTAACATATTCTTTCTCTCTTTCCCTCTTAACTGGGGAAACTGAGCTTGCAGTTATTACCTCGGATTTTCTGATGCATAAGATATCTGTGCCTATATTCTCTCAAAGAATTGTAAGACGCATGCTCACTTACAGAAGTAGGCAAACTCACTTTATGAAACCAGAATAAAATGAACTCAACCAGAACAAACCAACCCCTGTTTTTTATTTAAATTTGCATCTAAATTCTTAGAATGAAAACACTGGTACTTACAGGTGTGCAGGCACTCTGTAATGGTTGTGGCATCGATAAAGTAGCCTTTGCAGATGGAACACAGGATGTAAGGGGTCAACTCGGAGAGGTTTATCGTGCGCTGCAAACCAAAGCAGTTGGTATGAGTTTGAATACACAGAATAAGCCAAGAAATTTCCGGATCCTTGCCTCAGAAATATCCCCCACCTCACATCTTATTAAACATGGTGGTGGGGGGTCTGAATCAATATGCTGCAAAAACAGGTCTTCATAAGAGGTCAGTCATTCCTCAGACAGAAGTTATTTTCTAAACACTTTTCTCACCATTTTTTGAGTTGGCTTTTTATTTTTGTGAATGATGATGTAGTTTATTTATGAATCATAACCAAAAAGCAAACCACAGAGAAGTCTCTTGGGAACACATMTATTAAATATCCCCCAAAAAAACAGCAAGTGGCTACCAAAAACAAATAAAATCATTATTTGAAAAGCAACGGCAGGGCAAATATGTAAGGACCCTCAATCAAAAAACAAACAAACAAAACAAAACTAGTGTTATTTCTTCTTCCAATACACAGATAGCATTCATTCACAGAAATACATATTGAAACAATGATTTAAGTTTCACCACTTTAAATTTTGATTAAGCACAGTTACCAGGAGGGCATGCAAAGAGTTTCACATTTTCCCTGTCACAAGTCTATTAATTTGAATAAGCACAAGCTTACTCTACAGCAGTGGCTTTCACTCGGGGGGGCTGTGGCTACCTGCTGCCCCAGAAAGGTAAGGCAGTAAATTTTAGGTACCTTTGCTCTAATGTCAAGGGGGACCTCGCTCTCCCTTCCTCGCGCCATTCGCGCTGCCCACACGCCGCTGCTGCCACCTTACAGCCTCGCAGAAACCTCGAGGTGAGCTGCACTGAGGCAACGAGCGCGAGGAGCGGCAATGAGGACGCGCCGCGCCCCGCGAGCAGCGGGCCGAACCCGCGCGGGGAGGGCTTCGGGAGCGCCCGGGCCGCGTGACGCTGCGCGCGGGGCCGCGGGCAGCAGCGGGGCTCGTGGCGAGCGCAGCGGCGCTTCCCCCCGCCCGCTCCCCGTCATGGGGGGGGCGCGGGCGCCCCCCCCCGCCTCGAGCCGCACGCGCCGCCGGGCCGCGGGGCACGCCGGGAGCGGGGCCCGGCGCGGCCGTTGGCGCCCCCGCCCCAGCCCCCACCTTCACCTCCCGGTCGTCGTCCGAGTCGAGCTCGGCGTCGTCCATGCCGAAGGGGGGCCCGGCCGCCCCCTCCAGCTCCTCTTCCTCCTCCAGCTCCTCYTCTTCATCGTCCTCGTCGTCGTCTTCGTCGCCGCTGGAGTCCGAGCGGCTCCGCTCGAACTCGTAGGGCAGGGAGCGCGAGCCCGAGCAGCTGGGCGCCCCCTCCATCTCCTGCTCCATCTCCTGCTCCTGCTCCTCCTCGGCCGGACCGGGGCCGGGCCCGTCGCCGCCCGACAGCCCCGAGGCCACGGAGCCCGCGTCCACCTCCGTGTCCATGGCTCGGGGTGGGACCCGGGGCAAGCGCTGGGAGCGGTGGGCAGTGCGCACGCGCGGCGGCCGCCCGGGGCCACCTGGGAACTGTAGTTCGGACGGGCACGTGACCGCGCCGCTGCGCATGCGCACAGGCTCTAGATTTAGCACCCTACAGTTTTAATTGTCATTTTATTCTCCTTCACCGAAGAGTTAAATGACCAGCTAAAAAAAAGTTTGAATTCTGAAAACACAACAGTCATAAGTTATCCGTTTAAAAGCATCAATTCAAAGCACCAAAGAATCAGATTGCAAATAAAAAAGACGATAGAAACAGCTAGAAACCTAATTGGCTTAGTGACAAGGTAAAGGATTCTCTTCTCTGTGAACATTTTGGCTATTCTAAAAGGTCATTAGCCGCTCCTTAACGCTCACAGCATCATGGAAGCAGTGCTAATCCACAAGGAGGCTGTAAGAAACCTTATTACGAGAAGTAGCGTAACAGGTGAATAAAGTTTCGGCTTCCACAGGTGGGAGCGGTCAGGAACGTTGTCATCTGCGGGCCGGGCTCCTGCTGCGTTACCCGCCGCCCGCGCACCGCCCGCGCTTCGCATTTTCCGCAGCGGGTCCCGCGCGGGCCCCTGCCGCCCGCGCTGCCGTAAACCGCTCCCGCCAGTGTCGCAAAGAGAAGCCGCGAGTACGCGGGGAGGCGGGCGCGCTCTGCCCGGAGTGTCGCAAAAGCGCCCGCGGCGAATGGGGGCGGCGCAAGATGGCGGCGCTACCGGAGGAGCCGGCGGAGGTGGCGGCCGTGAAGCCGGACCCTGAGGCGGGGACGCCGCC